TAAATAACAAGTGAAAAAATTTTCAGACATTCCGGTTTTTATACTGCTTTTTTTTAATTCACTAACGCTCTAAAAATGAATATTTCAGCCGCAGTAAAGAATCAACGTTGGCGGATTTTGGTTCTTGACATCCTTTACGATCGGTTACGATGCCTAGAGTACGGAGACCTGTACGATTTCGTCAACTTAGTGAGTTTGATAGGGGCCGTATAGTGGGACTTCGGGAAGCTGGACTTTCTTTTCGGGCAATTGCAGTTAGAGTGCAAAGAAGTGTAGACACTGTGGTTAGGTGTTGTCAGGCATGGCTTCGAGAAGGCCGTACGCAAAGAGCAAGGGGCACTGGACGCCGCCGTAGAACAACAGACCGTGAAGATCGCCACCTAAGATTATTGGTCTTAAGGGACCGTTTCTCTACTATCAGGTCCATTACAAATGAATGGTTTGCAGAACACGGAAGGCCTATTGGCATGCGAAGTGTTTACCGACGAATGAGAAGTTTTGGCTTGTTTTCATACCGGCCACACTGGGTCCTCCCTTTAACTCGAGAACACCGACGTAATCGCCTTGAGTGGTGCAGACAACGGTCACTCTGGGATCAGGAACGGAACAGTATTGTCTTTAGGGACGAGTCTCGATTTTGTTTAGGCATGCACGATGGTCGTGCCAGGGTTAGAAGGCGACGTGGTGAAAGGAGGAATCCACAGTTTTTTGTTGAAAGACACGTTCATCACACTGTTGGAGTTATGGTTTGGGGTGCTATAGCTTTTGGTTCCAGGTCACCTTTAATCTTCATCAGAGGTAACATGAACGCGCAGCGTTATATCCACGAAGTTCTAGAACCCCATCTTTTACCCTATCTTGACACCCTGGCAGATCCAACTTTCCAACAAGATAATGCTCGACCACATGTTGCAAGAGTCACAATAGACTTCTTTCAACATAATGATGTCACATTGTTACCATGGCCACCAAGATCTCCCGACTTATCCCCAATTGAGCACGTGTGGGATATGATGGGTAGGAGATTGCTCAATTTGCAACGTCCTCCTCAGACTCTAGAAGCACTTCGAGAGGAGTTGGTGGTTGCCTGGAATGAGATACCACAGGAGGACAGTGACCACCTGATCAGAAGCATGCCTAGGCGCGTTGGAGAATGCGTAGCACATCAGGGTGCATCCACACATTATTAAAGGTCAAAGGGCTTTAAAGCAGTGCAATCATTTTGAAATTTTTATCATTTACGTATTATGCTTCATTAAGTACTTATACAAAATTTTATTAAAATAAAACCATTTAAACTGGGTGTTCGGATTTATATGTCACTTAGTATATATAGTTTTTGAAAATCGGTCTACTGGTGCCGACGCTAGAGGCAAAAACACGAAACTTGAGAGTTGTAGGGGGTTATACATCGTCTTTCGCATTAGTCAAATACGTTCTATCATTAAGGAGCATCTGGTCCCAGTAACAACGGGGAAATTGAATGATAAAAGTCCGAAGTTGAAAAAACACAGCGCGTCTAATAAACCGACATAAATGAGAAGCACGGACTTGACTGATGCATATACCTTTAAGCAACAGAAAACTTGAGGGCCTAAATTCGAATATTATCGCGAGTTTAGTACGTCCAAGAAGCTGCAGATGTCAGTGATACTATGCAACTGTTAGACACAATATTTGACTCATCCTTTTTCTTTGAAACCGATGAATGCGTCGGAAGCATAGAGTCAATCTAGTCAAAGCCATTTTTTCATTTTTTGAAGCTTCGTCGCCACCTAAGTGTTGCAGAATAAAAATTGTGTTTTGAGTGTACCAAATTGTTGGCGTAACTATAGAATAAAAGAAACAAGAGTCGCCGCGAAGTGGCGTAAATGTACAAAAAATATTTTTTTTCAAAACTCATTTTACTTTTACAAAATTGAACCATCCCAAAACAAAGTTCTACATAATTTTCGTCTAAAAGATTTCCAATCTTATTTATTGCAGATTTTTGTTTTCAGGCTCTTGTGTAAAATTTGTAAAATGTTAGTTACGCCGGTACGTGCGGAGACCGACGATATGATATATATCAAAATATTACAGAACATTTTTTTTTCGTCTGGTTCCCCATCCCTCATCGGCTGTAACGTCAAATCAATTGCGTTTCAGAATCTACGCACCCGATTTACCCAGGAAACAAATTTTTATCTACATAGTTCATAGGTACATGCGTTTTTTTTATTGGGTTGAAAGGGATGAGGAATCAATATTGTACTATCAAGAGAACTAAGGACAACTAAAAATGTCAAAAATCTATCAAGCTGTTTGGGCTGTAGCCCGCAATACTGAAATCTCAAAGATGAAGTTTAAAATCCGCCATTTTTTGTTTTATAAAATTCTAGTATTTACGAAAATGAAAGTTGAAAAAAGTGTCCTAGTCCGAATTTGATATGGATATGTTTTAAGTCCCTCGTGGATCCTAATTTTCTGTAAATCTGACCATTAAATGCTTAAAACTCGGTTAAAAATTATGATTTTTGAGGTCGTCAATTATCTAAATTAACATTTGAACCCTGCTTTACAAGACCCGGATGGGTATTTTGCGATGTTTTTTTAGGCCAACATTTGGTTTTCACAGACAAAACACATTTTCGAAATTCTTCGCGATTACAATACTTCCTCACCAGTGGCGTGGAAAGTAAAAGCATTAGCCAAAGTGTTGCAGAATAAAAATTGTGTTTTGGGCGTACTACGAATATGTAAACAAACGCGAATTAGAGCAAGTGAATAGAATAAGTTGAGTGAGCCGTGAACGAGAAGAGATACACCCTGGATGAGGCATTCCATTTTCCATGACCGCGGCTGATAATCGTTATTTCCGCCCAGTGGCGTAGCTACCGCCTTATCAGTTATACGGGGTTTTTTTCATAGCCTCACGCAAGTTTTTAGGCCGTACGCTAAATTAAAAATTATCTAGCGCTAGACCTTGGATTGTACGGCTAGATGATAGTAGCATGCTTCCTATTTTTAACCATCTAAATCACATCTGTAACAGCTGAAAGAAGCTTTTCGACATTGAAGGTAATTAAAGTATTTTAGGACTACTATGAGGCAACTTTGACAATCCGGAATAGTATCTTCAGCGGCTGAAACACTAACATCGTCTTTCGCTATGGATGATTTAATAAAAAAAAATTGGAAAAAATAGTGGCATTTGGATTAACTCAGTGCCTTCCCAAGCATTCACATATGCCTATTTTCAAAATTAAAATTGTAGCCCTCGCTTTCAAATTTTGATATGGGGCAGTGAGAAGCAAGCCACGCCACTGTTCCGGTTAACAAGTACTCAAGTATTGAATAATTACAGTTTTAGATCACATCACAACAGTCAGCAGTTACAAACACAGCAAAAGCAGATTACACACTAGCAACTCACAAAAATACTGATGATGGACAACGAATACAGCTTAAGTTCGTTCCCTTGTTTTTGATCAGAATAACCAACCCTTGTGTATACTTAAGACGTTTAGAGCATGGATACGCCTGCTTGGTGAAAATAATTTACTTAATAATGAGCTAGTAGGGGCGTAGAACGGTTAACGATGGTAGTTTCACAGAAATTTTTTACATACTAGAAATAAGAAAATCTAAAAGCAAGCACATGTAATGTTATGTTTAACGTAGGTAGATATATTTGGTTTGATTAAGCAACACTTTTTTCTAGTAAATTCCAATTTGTAGTAAATACGTATACATTAGGTTATTTTTAGCGTCCGTAATGTAACGCAAATAATATCAATAAAAAATGATGCATTTAGTTGTATTGATACCTTGGATCTCAGTTTTAAATATCCTACTTTGGTAATATAACAAAAAATATAGAACCTCAATAGGCAGCGCCATTTGTCACGACCTTTGGACGTTACTACTACACTGTACTATTTTTGTGTATAACGTACGAAAGTTCGATCTTTACAACGCACAAAGCTAATGTATAGTGGAAAATATAAATTACAGAAAATTAGAATGTTGATGCTTATCGAAGTTTTGTTTTTGACACTTTGATTTTTTTTTCATAAATGACTTTCATTTTTTTTACCATTCCATTATTCTCGCATGTTGCATAGCCAATAAGTCGTTCTATTTATTTCTATTTTCTCTCAACACTGACCATACGTCGTATGTCAATTACATTCAGAGCCGTTTTGAATGTAATTGAAATAAACCAAGTTTATGTAATTTGTGCAATACAAAGTGAAATAGTAACGTCCAGACCGTATTGTTTTTCTTTCCAACATGTTATAAAGTATAAATCAATAAATAAGATTATAAAAAAATTTTTCATAACAAAATTAGTAGAACATTGAAAATGATACCCCCTCAACGTGGGGGGTAGTTCTAATAGTTTTGACCTGTTTTTGTGTTAACCATTTGTATTTATTTTGGTTAAAGAGGCATTGAAAATGTTCAATTACGTTTACTTGGGGATTGAAGAGTTGAAAAACATTCATAGATATAGCCGATTTATCTATTGGTAAGCGTTTAGTAGTAACTTTTGTATTTAATGAGTAAAATACGATATATTTTTAAAATTTTCCATTACTAGTTAATGACACACAAGTGCAGCTTATTTGGAAGAGGATCATATTTTTATTTTCATGCATTCGTGAATAGTTGCGTGCGTTGTGTGTAAGTTGAAAATTCCGTTTAATGGTTTTGTTGAAATGAAATTTGGAATTGAAATGAACTAGTTGTTTTCGTTGTACATCAAGGTTTGTTTGTGAAGCCTAGCATAAAAGTAATGAATTGCTTCACCATTCCAACAGTATCCAACATATTTTACATTCAACTATTGTCAACAGAAAAAGCACCTCATAGGTGCATGTTAGTTTCCAAGTTGTTATTCTTTTCAAAAACATGGTTTACGTAAGAGCAGGGGAAAGCGTAACGTTGCAATGTCAACAGTGCTGGGAATCATGAGCCAGATGCCATCAGATGTCAGACAGAGGCACACTATTTACCTGGTAGGGCAGGAGCTCTCGAGCTTCATCCATATTGGTGATTTCGAAGGTTGGGGGTTGAGGGAAGGGCCCTTTTCCCGGATACGAAGTGCTGCGACGAAACTTGATGGGCGAAATGACCTGCTGTTGGTTGAAGGTCGGACTGGGTTTCCTTCCGGCCAAACCGACTCCCATCTGTTGGAGCGGCGTCAAGTTGGGCACGCTTCTGCCCCGATTCCACGCCGAAGAATTACCGGGACTCCAGTTCTGTCCCGCAGGTGGATTCGTCCAAGAACCGTACCCCTTGTACATCGGGTGATTGGTCATCGACTGCTGTCTGCCCATGTTGTGGGGGAAGTTGTGACTAGCGGTTATGGCTCTTCTACCTTGATTCACTTGGTTCTGGTTTATGTTGTTCCCGAACAGCTGTTGCTGGGTGGGCGAGGGGAAATTCTGGAATCCCATAGTTCCGCTGCCGTTGACCGCTGTGGCCAAGTTGGGCACATACCCATCCTCGATGGCCGTGGACCAGAGCGCTCCCGCGGGTGTGCTTGGTTCTGCGGGATGAAAGAGTGGCGGCAAAGACGGTGGTACCGCGGTGGCTGTGCCTGCAGCTGCTGCTCCGCATCCAGTCGATCCTGGTGGTCCGGTGGCACCGCCGCCAACAGGGGCATTCTTTCCGGAAGCGTGAGCGTGACCGTGCCCGTGGCCGATCTGATCGCCGGTCAATTTGTCCGATAGTGAGAGATCATTCGCGGATGCGGATGGTTCGCACTCCTTCGCGGTCGCGTTTTTTTCGCTGGCACTGGACACGGCAACGTTCGGGCTCGACGAAATTGCATTCGCGTTTCCATGCTCCTCCGCGCTACAGGCACTAACTGCTGCTGTCGTTTTATCCGGGAGATCATCTTGCATCGTCGAGTTGTAGCCTTTTATCTGTCTGCCTGCTTCTCCTGTGGCTGACGATGTTGTGTAAAACAGCGTGTTTTGATTCACTTTTCCGGAGTTTACCGACGATATTTCGACGGTAGCTGTGGCTGTAGCACTTAACCCGATGTTGGCATTCCCACTAAGTGTGAATTCTCCCATTAGTGGTTGCGCACTGGCCGCTGGACCTGTGTTCCGTTCCTGTTGGTTTGCTGGTTATCGGTTACGGTTATGTCATACGCGGCCAGACATAAGTGTACGGTGTATCTGGCAGTCTAGCAGTCGAACAGCGCGATAGCGATAACGAACCAGCTTAGTTTCATGTTAGCGCTGACGGGTGAACGCTAAACGGTGAACGGCGCGGGATCGGTTCCCGAGCGCCTACGACGTTCTGCGACGCTCTACGAATGGGGACCATGCCAAATTATTGCGCCTTCGCCTATTGGCCGAGTTTGCGCCCAACACCACCTTTAGCCCAGTCCAATTAGATAAAGTCCTCCACTGCTAACGAACTGGACGAGTAACTTTTTTTTTGAACGTTTAGATTTTACTTAATCAGGACATATCGTCGGTCTCCGCACGTACAGGCGTAAATGACAAAAAAAAGTTACGCCGTAATTTCACATATTTTTTGTAGTATCTCACCTCACGAAGTGACGTAACTGTATATATCAGTTCGCTGCTTGGAAATAAAAAAATTTAAAAGCTGCGTAAGTGATGAAATTTCGAAAACAATTTTCAGTCAGCGGTAAAAAAGAGTGAACTAGGAAACGAAATAAAATGGACAGACATGATGGAAATAGTGGTAAAACAGGATGAACCGATGACACTATTTTTTGAATAGTCATCAAGACCACGATTATCATAGCTTAGTATTGGAACAGCAAATTAAGGGCGGCCTCAGTAACTTGCCGTTAAAACCTTTGAATGAAGGACTCACAACGATATCGAAGAAAAAATATGAGGATCTTATATCTTTATGCAAACTCCAGTTATCCGTATTCCTCAATTTGTATTTTAGTGTAAACTTACTTTAGGATTTACTTTTTGTTTGTACTTATAATATTATGTAGAAAATAAAACAGTTTTTATTTTTGAAACAATATTTTCGATACTTTGATACCCATGTCCAATTATAAATTGTTGGCGTAACTATACAATAAAAGAAACAAGAGTCGCCACAAAGTGGCGTATATGTAAAAAAAAAATTTTTGAAACTCATTCTACTTTTACAAAATTAAACCATCCCAAAACAAAGTTCTACATAATTTTTGTCTAACAGACTAAAAAATCACTTTGTCATTTTCAATCTTATTTATTGCGGATTTTTGGCTCTTAAAATTTGTAAAATGGGCTGTTACGCCTGTACCGACGATATGATATATTTTATTTTATTCATATATTTCTCAACAGATACAAGATCCAATTACAGAGAAACACTATACAAGTGTTGATAAGCAAATAGACACACATTCAAAAAATAATATCATGGACTGTGGTACTCCCGTATTTGATGTGTATGATTCCGATTTGAAGCCGTTATACTGCACAGATTGAACGCGTTCAGATAAATAGGAACGGAAAAATATCAACAAGTTGTCAGAAAACCCAAATTTATACATTTTTTTAAGCAAAATGGAGTGGTCTATTCGGTCCAATGCCTTTGAGAAATCCGTGAATATAACGTATCAAAATATTACAGAACTTTGTAGAGCAAAGTTCCATTTTCGTCTGTTTCCCGATCCCTCAACGGCTGTAACGTCAAATTAATTTCGTGTCAGAATCTACGCACCCGATTTACCCAGAAAAAAAAATTTATCCACATAGTTCATAGGTACACGCGTTTTTTTTTTTTAATTGGGTTGAGAGGGATGAGGAATCAATATTGTACTATCAAGACGAATTGACGAATCTAAGTACAACTAAAAATGTAAAAAATCTATCAAGTTGTTTGGGCTGTAGCCCGCAATATTGAAATCTCAAAGATGAAGCTTGCCTTTAAAATCCGCCATTTTTGTGTTATAAAATTCTAAAATTTACGAAAATGTATGTTGAAAAAATGAAGTGTCCTAGTCCGAATTTGATATATGTTTAAGACCCTCTTGGATCCTAATTTTATCTCGAATTCAGAATCTATAATATCAATTTAAGTTACGGCGAATATGAACTTGATGAGCTCCAAAATGAAGATAGCCAACCTATATTCCTGCGTCCAAACAATTACCGGAGTTGAAATGGAATATTGTAGCGTCATCTAAGAAAATTTGTTACAGCTATTGTTCTCCTCTCCGTACTAATTAGAAATCTACTCTGATCTTGGTGTCTGTCGCCAACTATATCAGCACATAGCATCTATGCGACCTCAAACCTCTTCAAAGTGGATTTCTTATTATTGTGGAGAAGAGAAACATAGCTGTGACAAATTCTCATAGATGACGCTACGGTATTTCATTTAAATTCGCATGGTTTTTTGAAGGCGGAAATGTATTAGGTCTTCATGTAGAATACGTAAATCAATGCTTTTTCTGCGGAGGGTGTCTAAATTTCCGCGACTAGTGCAGCTTTTCCGTTTTTCCGAGAGCTGACGTGCACACCATTGGAGGAGCGTGTTGCGCATGAGCTATGGGCGTATGGACATGCATTGTGCCACTGCGCCAAAGCCACAAGGCGCATGGCGCCGTCCTATACCGCGATGCCATTGTTGCCAGACTTTCTAATTTATCAGTAAATGTATTGACATATTCACATTTTTATAGTAATATTGTCCTCGTGCATTGTTTTGCGAAAGGATTGAAGCCATGTAATACTTTTACCATGAAATTTGGTGTGTACTAGGTTTTATCATGGTGAATACCTGTTTGCATTGCTCACAGAAATATCAGATTCTTATTAATTGAAGAAAAAAAGTAAATATTGAAATATGGCTGTGGAAAGTGTAACAGGGAGAGTGGTGCGTGCACTTGCTTAACCCCTTAACCAGCCCGTTGGTGACAATAGAAGTCTAATGTACCTCGATAAAATGGATTGAAGAGCGGGGGGGGCTCCGTCCGTCTCCAAAAATATGCAATATGCCATAAAAAAGGTAGAAATTGAGAGTTTAGCGGTAGAACGATAGCCAAAGGCTGAAAACGGTACAGTTACCATAGAAACGGTAAATCTGGCATCGCTGCTTGTGGCTGCGTCCCCGTTTCCGTACGCCTGTACGGAATCGAACAGCTGATGACGACATGGATCCACGATCGGCGTTCGACGGCGTTGCCGGGCAGCAATAACGGCGCCTACTATTGCCACATCTTCACTATCGTACAACATACTAGCTACAACCGCTCAATGCTGGCATTACGTACCACTGGCGTATCCAGAAAAAAGTTCTGGGAGCGCTTACATTTTGCAAAAGGTAATCTAAGCAAATTATGCTAAATACCTTTTGCCAAAATTAGAAGGTGGAAGCAACTATGTGGAACAATGAGATCAAAATACGGACATTCAATGTGTTTTTTCTGACAATGTTGGTGAAAGATAATATGTTTTGGTCTTGTTCTTCAAAATAAGCTTTTAACAGAAAATGTTTCATATGAAGGTTATGTAGCCTTCTATTACAAACATTCTGAGATCACTAACATGTCCAATCAATAAATGAATGTGCAAAAAACTGTCAAAATATGAATTGTTTTCAAATTGCCATACCTCAGAAACAAATAGGTTTCCAGGAGAGCAACATGTGAGGGTGGTTTGAAGTAGTGAAAATATGTTGTACAGTATTTAAAAAATACATTTTTGTTGTTAGAAAATATGGCATAATATTGCCACGAATATTCTCTTCCCTCACACTTGGACCACTTGGTAGAGGTGCTAAATGTCTATGGAAATCCTCTTTATGGCGCACCAATGCTATACTCCCACATGTTGTGTCTTATATTATTTTCTCACAATTCAAACCAAATGGTTCTCTCTGGATGTCAAAGTAGTTTTTCTCGGGTTTCGGGTCCAAAACAATGCGCTTGCAACATTTTATTCGAAGATTGCATATCAATTAACCTGTGAGCTACGACAACAGTTCTGGGTGTCTGTTTGCGTTTTTCAGATGGCTTTTGGCGTTTTCGGGAACATGGACGAGGGTGACGTATTTGGTACATCAAAAAATGACAGATACGCTGGACATCCTTTTTTGAGAACGGGCGCTGTGGTGCCACTTTAAAATTCGGAATAAATTCGCAATATCAGCATGTTATGGGACTTTCAGACTATTGTAGTATAACACACTGTATAGAAATGTGATCATGAAAATAAAAAACACAGGAACTCTCATCTGGAAGACAGATAAAATATGTTGCCATTGTACTGAAGAAGATCACCTTTGTGGATATGGATTTTGCAATGAAAATGCTCGTTTTTTTTTACTTTCCACGCCACTGGCGAGGAAGTATTGTAATCGCGAAAAATTTCAAACATGAGGTATAACGTTTTCTGGATGTTAACTAACTTGAAAAGTACTGCTCGGATTTCGGTGAAATTCTCACACATGGTTACTACTATAATTATTGTTGTCGAGACCAGAAATAAATGGCATGCCGTTCTTAATTGTCGTAAATCAAAAAGCAGTGACATGTGATTTACCGCTTAAATACTCTGTAAAAACAAATTTACTGCCTTTTGCTTCCCACGAGTACTGTTGTAATCGCGAAAAATTTCGATAAATGAGATATTAGGTTATATGACATTTACATCTAGAAAAACATTGTCACTCATTCCCGTCGATCAGTCTATCAGTGCTATGCCAGGAACAAAAAAGCTTTCTAGTTACTAATATTAATAATAATACAAATATTTATAGACGAGACACGCGGTTTATCGGAGCGGAGCGATGCAGGGATATTATAGCATCGTTTATGACGTGTTTGACTGGTGTGGTCCAGCAGCGTTGCCAGATGGACGATACTTAGGACAGGGAAGAAACTAGCGTCAGCGTTCTCAAATGGATGGAGACTATGGAGTATGTACTAATTGTATATGAGCCTGTTTGGATCACTTAACCCATTCAATTTCTTTGTTATAGATGTTTGTAGCTAGCTCAAAGGGACTAAAATTTAAGAGCAAACCTTTTTTTGTTACGAAATTTGAAAAACTGCGTTTTGAAAAGTGCACTGAGAGCAGCTTATTTTGCGGTCCGTCTGTTTGGACTCCAGAGAAAAGCCATTCGAATAATTTCTGGTATTAGTTACAGGGTTTTTTTGATAGATTGTCCAGTATCTCAACAATTTGAAAATAGAAGACTATAATGTGTTATACCAAATTGCTTAATTTGAAAGGGTCTATCCAAATCTGCAATAAAATGTAAGTCTTATAATTAAAAAAATGTGTGTTTGTGTCGTTATGAATCACTATGTAGAGATGAAGATACTTTCCAAGAAAAGAGTATTATTGGCTACAATTTTTTTAATTGCCTTGCATAATAACAGAGTTATCGCCCGAGCTCGCACTAAAAACTCACCTTGTAAATGACCATCTCCGAAAACAGTAGTTCAATTACCTTGAACGAAAAATGTGTAAAGGTTTTATTGAGAACCAGTGTACGTGTGTTAATTAGATAAGTATTTTTTTTTGATAATAGGATCTATCGCAATTCTATTACCGGAATCATTCAGTTATTGAGGTAACAGATAATGCTATTGGTAAATGTAGGTCATCAAGAGGAACGTAATTATTCGTTCCCGATCAATAATTCGGCAAAAATATTCTAGGTTATCTGTAGAGTCATCGTGACCGATCGATGCATGAATTGTCAACCCCAATGAAAAATTGTATTTTCAACACAATTCTGACAATTTTGCCAGTTAGCACCGGTATCAACACCAGTCTATCTCCACTTTGCCTGAAAATGAATATTCCAATTATTTTTTGAATGAGAATTTTAACTGTTATGCTGGCGAGTATATTTGGAACAGCTAAAAATATCCAGTTATAAATGGTTGTCGAGCGTTTAAGTGACAAAAAATTAAATGCTCCGGGGAAAATAATTCGGCATAGGTATAGAATAATTTCGATTTGATATTGAGTCTGCACACAGTAGAAATCATACTTAAGTGGGTATAAATATATCTAAGGAGGCGTTTACAACCTACGATTTTAAAATAGACTGCATTTCAGAAACAATTGATAGATCGAAGCGAGCCTTTGCGTCAAATCTGGTAGTATTCAAAATTCCCTATTGACGCTAATACTTGTAAATATCTAGGTCTATGGTATCGAGTATATAGGTATATAGTAGACGACAACCATATTTTATTTGTTTACATTTTTATGCTTCCTTTTTTTACCTACATAATGTATAGTAACAGATGCCACAAAGCTCGTACTTATTCAAAATTTCTATAAAGTTTCGAATTGTTAGGTACTGAAAGTTTAATCCCAATATTTCCGTATTGAAAATAATTATTCGACCAGTATAACTGCCAAACCTCCGTTTCTTCAATGTCTAGTCCTAGTCATCTATGAAAAATGGTAATTGGGAAAGGGGTTACATAAACGACGTAATCGAAAACGGTGGATGAAAAGCAGCTAATCTGTATTAAGAGTCACGTAATTCAGCGCTTATGACGTTCAAATGGGACAATACGTCACGTTTAACTGATCTGCATTACTGGTCACATAACCAAAATCATATTTAAACAAGATGCTTTCGTCCGTCCGACCAGAAAAAGAAGACAGCCAACCATAAACAGCTGTTTCGTGCTTCGTAGCTTCTCATCAGCATGGTATAGGCTTGATCTCTTATCTCTGGATGAACGAACGGAAGTACCACAATGAACCTCTACACCGGAGGTGCGGTTTGTTTGCATGAGATAGCGCAAAGCGCCATCTATCGCAGCAGAATTGAACTGAGATCTGTGACAGTTCCAACTAATAGCAGCGGTGTGCGATAGATGGCGCTTTGCGCTATCTCATACAAACCGATATATTTCGATGTATTTTCGAGCATTCATTCCTTTCCCTATTTCTGAAATTCAAAGAAATTGACAGACTGGTTATACGTTTAAATGTATGTTTTTTCTATTTATTTGCTTACCACTATTTTAATATCTCTTACATAATAGCAGAAAAACATAGATTTGTAAAAAATTGTTCTAGCAATTACAAGTTATAATACAGTTACTTTCATCTTGAGACCATTTCTAAATTGGTATTTTGTTCAGACTGATTAGAATCTATCATTCCTGATATATCGGGAACATTTTGCTGTTTGGCTTCCGGGATGTTCGACTCGTTTTCAAGTTGTTGCTGTTGTGCTTTGGTGGCCTCAGCTACTCGTTTATTTACCACTTCTTGCTGGGCTACAACAAAATTCTGCATCAGCCTATTGTTGTATTTGACAAATTTCATGGAGCAATCTTCTACACATTCTATTTCTTGGTCATCTAGTTTTCTAGAATTAATGTTGTCCACACATCTCGAAAAACACATCTCAGTCATCCGATTGTACATTTGAAGGAAGTCTTTGAACTAAAAACAAACATAGAGAATATGGCCCAGATAAATTATTAAAACGTACATTCCTAAGGGCACCTTTATCTAGCTGCATTTTGAATCCGTTTCTAAATCGGCTATCGCAAATTGTAATTTCTTATGTCAGATGTACTGTATATGTATAGATTTAGATGTGATCACAATGTGATAAAGTTAGGTTAGGACAGTGTTTGAAAAAGGTGCTAAGTGATGAACTCCAATGTCAACTGTAGCTGTGTGTTCCATGCAAAATTTCATGGCGATATTAGTAATGTGCTAGCATCACATTTCCAACGGTGTGATACTGCCTGTGCATGCGCAGTGGAGAAAACATGTCCAAGCGAAGGAAAACCTACGGTAGAATGACAGCTGCTTATCTAGTAATATCTGAAAATTCCCTATACCGGCACAGGACACATAATTCTGACGGGTCTGTCAACGCCAGGTAGACAGAGCCGAATTACGGTTTGGTTTTTTGTATGCTACAGATTCATTTGATATTTGCTAATAGCTCTTTTTTCAGGAAAGTTCATTTGCATACAAAAAACAAAACGCCACAAACAGATTTTACTAGATTTATACCCGATCCATTATTGCCAACGCTACAGACTAACACAAAAATGTCACTTGCTGATCAGCCGTTCACCTCAGTAGACGAAGAATCCCAAACCTGTAGAATGTGAGCTAAGGGGGGTCATTGCCGATCAATAACTAGTTAGGATTCAGTTCTCAAAGTTTTAGAGTACGGGGAAAATTGTACACGGTAGAGTAACAGCCGATTATCTAGTAATATCTCAAAATTCCCCATGTCGGCACATGACACATAATTCAGACGGATCCGTCAACGCCAGGTAGATAGAGCCGTATTTTGTTTTGTATTCTTCAGATTCATTATGTACAGCTCTTTTATTTAGAAAAATTCATTTGCATACAAAAAACAAAAAGCTACAAACAAGTTTTGCTAGATTTATACTCGATTCATTATTGCCGTCGTTGCAGACTAACACAAAAATGTCACTTGCTGATCAGCTGTTCACCTCAGTACACGCCAAAGCGTGATAGATACTCGTGTTATAGCGTATATGTGCCCTAAGATTTGGGGTTCTATATAACAAGTTCTTAAGCAGTATACATTTGGAACGGTACTTCAATGGCCTAACAATAAGGAAAGAAACAGACTTTTGTCTTAATATCAAATATAATGCTGTCACTGTCAACTCAAACTTATTTTGACACAAAGATGTGTTTTAGCAAAATCAAATTTGAAATGGTTTGACAACATATGCGCGATGCAGAAATTCACAGTGGGCTCTCAAACCGCTGGGCATGTGATGCTATAGCATTCCTAGTCGCAATAGGCTCCATTAGTGTGACGTCACGGATGTCATACATCAAACCAAACTAGGGAATCCATCTGGGGTTACGGCAGACCAAAAAAACAGTAAATTCCACTTGAAAGTACTGAAAAATGATATTTAAAAAACGCTCTATACAAATCAAATAGGAAATTTATTTTTGACATATGACATTAGTGACATAGCCAATGAAGGGTACACCGTACGGTGACCAACCACTCTTATGGAACTGTAAGCTTATTGAAATTATTTTTGTGGAAATGAAACATCTTCCAAGTATTAGCGTTGAAGCTGAATGTAACCTTTTTACTTGCCAGCAAACTTTTTAGAACCAGTTTCTAACTGTCGATTAATGCCAGTACCCACGTGGTGAACGCAGGGAACCGTTCGGTACTGCGACGCGAACATAACTTTGGTGCGTGATGTGGGCGGGACTTAAGTGGGAGGCCTCTTCGCCCTCTACTTTGGAGACTCCGAACTAGATTTCCTATCCATCAGAAAAGAGGGAGGCAGGGACGCCAGGTTCGGCGATTTGTCGCCAAGTTAGGGATTTTTTTGGCGACTGGCGTTTTTTTTTTTGGCGGCTGTCGATTTTTAATTTGGCGACTTCCAGGAACATTCTTGGCTACACTGACGATTTCATGAAGGTTTACCTCCTTTACAGATCGAATATTTTCATGTGCCGTGACGTTATCTCCCAAGCCAGCATACAATGCGATTAGGAGGTGTCCTATAGCCCGAAATATCGTTAAACAAAACATTGAAATTGATAATGTCGTGGGCAGTTTCATTTCATTCCGTGTCTCTTGACGTTAGATTATACCAAAACTATCTAGATACCGAAAATCGTGATCGTAGTCACGATAGTAAACGTTGACGAATATTCCATTGTGTATGAGAATTTTGTGATATTTCCTTAGCAATTTGAAGATACAGCAGACCTTGGTACTGTGGAATGTTAACGCCTGGATCTTCGCAAAATAATTTTCAATTTCAAATTCCCCACGCAAAATCTTGTTGACGCCAAGTATGGCGATCGAAATGAAATAATGGGCGATGATGTTTTCTCAACTGGCAACCTAGGATGCTTGAAAGGAAGGGGGAAGGGGACCATCGACCATTTTGTATCTTGTAACTTGAATTCAGTGCAAGTTGCAGCCGGTTTAGACGTTGTTTGCCGTATTATATTTTATATAATTCTTGATGGTAAAAATGGAGACGAAGGTAGAAAATAATGTGAAACAAGAAGCTGCGCCTGAAACTGATAATAGTAGTGCTGGACAGGAGAAAGGGGGTTTTGCAAACAGAGGACGTGGTGAGAGTCGATTTGGTCGTGGAGGGCGGTTTGGTGGACCTCGAGGCGGAGGCGGCAACGTAAGTCAATTCTCATTAATAGCTAAAATTTCCTTGCACTTTTGTGAATTTTTCTCAATAGGGAACAATAAAAAATTATCTGTGTATTGTTGCCAAGCGACAGGCTTCGGTCGGTCATGTGTATGTCTAGTGTGCTCTCACCGGAATTACGCTTGCCAACGTTACTTTTTGCTGTGCGTGCTGTAAATGTGGCATAAACGGAATCTGCATACAGCGAATAGCTTAGCACTGCTCTTTAGTTACATTTTAGTTGTTTCTCTTTGTTTTATTTTAGTTATTTCTCTTTGTTTTATTTTAGTTATTTCTCTTTGTTTCATTTCTTGACATTTCTCTACAACGTCCATTTTGTTTATTTGGTCAACGCCAACATGGACGCCCGTAGTAGCTTTTCTCATCGGCATACATAACTTTCTATGAATGTACCTGCCCCAAAACTTTTTGAAATGGGGTCAGTAAATTTTCTCGGACTGGAGAACCTAAAAATTCCCAAAAATTGTGTACAAAATGCTAAATATGCAATTCTTAAGGTCCATTCGTATAGGTGAGGCGTCATGGTGGTCAATGAACTCAGAAGCCGTTTAACGTAGAACAGACGCTAGTTTATTCAACATTTAAATCTGTACCCCAGAGCCAGACTAGGTTAAGTCCAACGAAGTAGTTTTGAGATAATTGTATTTGAAATATTTTTTGCATTGTATTGAATACGACTTGATACGAGATAAAAAGTCGTAACTTTATTATTACAGATAGATGGATGCTGCATGTAGCAAATGAAAATTCACAATATTATCATAAGCTTAACATAACTCATGTTTGACAAAAATGGACTACCTAGTCTGACTGGGGTACAGAAATAGGTATAATCATAAGCATAGTTTATAAAACTGTAGGTCTTTTTGTACTTTTATACTCAAGAGCAAGCATAAATTTAAGTTTTTATTGAATCTGAAGATACGTGAAAGAATAAGGGAAACCATATATTTCCCTAGATGATTAATCAGAGCTAACTGATAATCAACAAATAATAATAATAATGTTTATAAATATATATGTCTCTGCTATGATAAGCATAGAATACAAATGTATCAAATTAAAAAAGCAGAACATTTACAAAATGAACTATATGAAAAAACATGAATACAATGACAGACCCACTACAAAATAAAAAATGCTTTGCCTGTTATTGTGACTGTGTAACCTCATAATCTGACATGTCATATGGACCCAATTCTGTAAGTTATGTTTTAGCTCCCTCTTAAATATATTAAGGGTTCCCATAGATTTAATGTCACGAGGTAGCATGTTATAAATTTTACAGGCACAGTTAGGCATTTTTATAATGCTAATCAATACAAACCTATCTTCGTTTTGAAGCGCGGGAAGCGTGCAATACGTGTTAGAAGGAGATAGAAGCACCTGATCCCCTAACGACCCAAGTGGCGCGGTGACGGACGCCATCCGCGAGATCCTCCTAACATATATATTGGAGGCTTGTCTCTCGTACATTTGACGACGTCAGCCAAATTTGAACATCACTATATAATAAATGTATAAAGTATTCGTTTCAGTGCTGCAAAAAGATTCTGAACACCCTTGCCCAATCCCCAAGACATTATCACATATATCATGACATACTCAGTGTTCGCATGGTTCAATGTAATATCACCAACATATTTTCTCACTAATCTTATCCCATAAAACACATACATCTCTATAACTTTCCTTGATCTTGTATTAAATATTAGGATGTCTGTTTTATTTTTATTAACTATTTACATTAGCAGTAAACTATTTGTTTATTACATATCAGCTCTTGGAATTGTTTTAATTAACTAGTTTTACATCAATGATTTTGAGGTGTATTTAGTAATGTATTAATGTATAAATAAAGAAAAGCCCAGTATACAAAGATGTTTTAAATAATTTATTGAGCTGTTGAGCAATAAGCAAAATAGCAACAGTAATATTGAATGAAAGCAAAAAAATTCACAACCAAAATTGAAAGTTAGAAAAGAACAGAAAACTAAGTGAAAAAAATGTATACAGGGAACATTAAATTTGTCTAACAGCTTGAATTCAACATGTTCGAGAATGAAGCATTATCAACACTTGTTAGAAAGAAATACAAGCCAACTGAAGAGAGGAGGTAATCACCACATTGCCTAGCAATGGTGATGCAAAAGGTTGTGCAATCTGCCTCATTGCCAATATGGACAGAAAATGTTCACACAGGCTTCTACAATAGGTTACTGTTAAAGCGAACAAGGTCTGTTTGAACATTCAATATTTTGTTTTCATTTTGATTGGAATTATTTATTTCAATTTTGATGCGACCTAGAGTTTGAATTTAGTTTAAAATTGCTAGAATTATCTTTGATTTCCACCGATGGTGTAACATTTATCAAGGCATTATTTGATTCATGTCTATTGAATGAGGCAGAAGTACAGTCAACTTTCATTTTCTTGTTCAAAGCAGTTGTGAAAATACCATTTTTACAGCGTGATGGTGGTGACAGAGGTCAAGATGGTCAACAAGGCGGGCGTAACCAAGATGGTAGAAACCAAGATGGCCCTCGTAGAGGTGGTAGAGGTGGAGGTAGAGGCGGATTCCAAGGACAACGCAGACAGGATAATAACCAACAAGATGGAGAAAATGATAACCGTGAAGGTGAGGAGTTTAATGATTGAACATTTAGAAAAATATGTATACACACCATTGTGAACATGGAAAAAGATAATAATGCTTCACTAAAAGTTTTGTAGGCTTAAATAACATATTTTATAGGAGGTCGCGGTCGTTATCCACGAGGCCCAGATGATAAATTCAATGAGAAGGTGATGTCTTTATCTGGCCCAACCTTTGATATTCCTGCTGTACCAATGACTGAAAAGAAATTCAATGGCAGAAACAGATTGTATATCGGTAACATAAGCCCTGAAGTTACTGAGGATGACATAAAAGAACTATTCCAACCATTTGGAGAAATCAACGAAACTTTCATCAACAAAGAAAAGAACTTTGGCTTTATCAAAGTTGATTACCACAGCAATGCTGAGAAGGCAAAAAGGGAGCTTGATGGGCATTTGCTGAAAGGCAGAAACTTGAAGATCAGATTTGCACCCAACTCGACCACTATCAAAGTCAAGAATTTGACACCATTTGTCTCTAATGAATTGCTGTACTATTCTTTCTCTGTATTTGGCGAGGTAAGTAATTAATGGATTAAATCCAATACATAAATTAACTTCTAATATGGAAGGATCAAACTGCTAGTGTTAACTGTATTTTAGCATTGTATGTAAGTATAATCAGAATGATTTACATTTCAGATTGAAAGAGCAATGGTGTGCGTGGACGAGCGTGGTAAACCAACAGGGGAGGGTATCATTGACTTTGCACGCAAGGGATCTGCAACCCATGCTATTAGGAGGTGCTCAGAAGGTTGCTTTTTCCTAACTGGTTCCTTGAGACCCGTTATTGTGGAGACATACGAGGTCGTCGATGATGTGGATGGCTATCCTGAGAAGAACATCCCCAAGAAAAGCATGGATTATCATAAAGAAAGAGAACAGGGTCCCAGATTCGCAACTCCTGGTTCATTTGAGAATGAATATGGCATGAGGTGGAAGCAGCTCTATGATTTACACTCTCAGAAGGAAGAAGCCTTGAAGAAGGAACTAGAACTTGAGAAAGAAAAGTTGGCAGCTCAAATGGAGTATGCCAAGTAAGTTTCTCATATATTTTCTCGGCATATATAGGATAATACTCAGAGGAGAGTACCGAGGGCCAAGTCATTTATGAACATTATAAAAAGCGTCGGCCCTTGAACGGAACCCTGTGGGACACCTGATTTATCTCCAGGACCTTTGAACAATTCCTCTGTAAGCTGACGTATTGCCCTCTGTCAGAGATGTGATGTAACAAGTTCAAGGCCTCCATCAAAGCTGTACTTGGCCTGATAATCTGATACTATATGTACTTGTGTGTGGTACAATGAGACATTTTTTTATTTACAGATACGAGCATGAAACAGAGGTGCTGCGTGACCAGCTGAGAGCTCGCGAGATGGACAAAGAACGACAGAAAATCGAGTGGGAGAGAAAGCAGAGAATGGTGGAGGAAGAGAGGCTGAGAACCGAGGAGCAGATGAGACGGCAGCAGGAGGATATGGAGTCACGCATGCTGGCCCAGCAGGAGGAGCTCAGGAGAAGGCAACAGGAAAACACCCTCTTTATGCAGGCACACAATTTGGACTCAATGCTTGAACAGCAAGAACAAGCATATGATGCTCCAAGTTATAGTAAGTTGAGTGCAGGTAAAGCTCTTTGTTTCTCTATCCATTTCTATTTGAGCATAATTAGTACTAGTAGATATAAAATGACCCCCAGTATGTTGCTACTATTACTAATTATTTTTATTATATGTATATATAATTAAATCGTTTATTGGGGATTGCCAAAACTTAAAGCATAGTAAACTCTTTTGACGGTAATCTCAAGCTTTCGACAAATTATGTTGTCATCTTCAGGAGTCGTCGGTGAGGTTGCAGCTAAATGGTGTTTTAAAACGAAAGCATGGATGGGAACATCACAATTATAAAACCAAAAGACCGGATACATTGAGTTTGTTGTTAACGACAGAAGAAAGAAAAATTAAATTTACTGTTTCCCCAAAATGTAGTGTTAGTTTTCTAATAACTTTAGCATGTTTTCGAATTTTTAATTTGTTCGGCTTTAGTGATATATGGTAGCTGAATCTTTTCTTTCTTTTTCAGTGTCCATGAATGATGATACGGGACTCGTAAGTATACCCTTTGATTGTGCGTTATTTCCATTAAAAGTTTCGTGAAGTTCCTTTCACTGTTCAACAGTTGCAAAATGTGTATGCAATGGAAAACAACAACATATCAATGTTATCATTGGTGAGACTATAGCCCAATATTGCGTGTGAAACTCTGGTATGGTTGCTAGAAGGTCAATGAAAGGATGTTTGAATACAGCAAATATCAAATTATGTCAAACTGTTGTGATACATTTGGATATAATAATTTCCTTGGATATACGCAGCTTTATTGAGCTATGGTTTTACAAGCAAGCAAATCTTTGAAGATTTCTTGAAGTATTCTGTTTGGGTTTATATAGCAATATTTGTACATGATTCAGTAACTCACACAAACTAAAGCCATACCAACGTTGGTGTATTAACCACTACATACTGATATTACTAAGAATGAATAAATCGTATCTATTATCAACATATTTATACATTTTATCTTTATGATTTGAATGAAGCATTCAACTTGAATTCTTTCTGCAAAGACAATTTATTTCTCAAAACTAAAACGGTCGTTATTGAAAATATTTACCACATGACTAAAATATCTATTGAAAATGATTTTTTTCTTGACTCTTGGTGATTGAACAATCGCATACCTGTGATCGACATTCTTATTGAAATCTGATTTTATATGCATCAGAAATGATCTTTTTATACAACACCATAGTCTATTTATTTCTGCTTATTGAAAAATCAATTATACATACTTACTTTGTCTCTTTAACTTATGTCTGCTGAACCGTGTTTTACTGGAATTTTATGTCTGATTTAGATATTTACTGTGTGCGCGTGTTATTGCGTCTTGCTACTGATGTTGCATTATCGATTGCTACTGATGTATTCAAACTCGGCCAAAATGCCCTCGATATACATATACTTATATATACCATGCCTGAAATTTTGTAGTGATACTCCTACATCTGCTAGGTTGTTGCTTCCAGAATATCAAAAACAATGCAAAGCGTATGCGTAAGATTGAAACATTTTTGAGCAAGCAAGCCATGACTACAGTACCACTCAGAACTAGTTCAATAAATAGTTAACCGATTAAACGTTATTAGGTGACACTGCTTGTTTGCTTTCAATTCTCTGTCTCCAAGACTAAACTATACCATGCTGATGATTGCTAACAAGCATGAAACGACATCATATGTGGCTGGACATGGTCACAGAGACAGAGAGCAAACCGATCCTACTTATTTAGTGGCTCCAATATTCTACTGGGGTGTGGTGTTATAATTTTGAATGCAACTCACAAAAATGACCTGTATACATACTCGATATTGCGGATGCGCTTATCCGAAATATCATATACATGTTACTGTCCTCGCACGGTGGTACCGTGGTGTGTGCCCACGGGACGTCGTGATGCAACCAGAAATCAGTTGGAGATACCTTACCAATCGGGTTTGTTTCACTTGAGCGCCGCCAGATGGGGCGCCAAGACAGATTGGCAAAGCAAGCAGCAGTGGCGTGGGTAGGATTTAATTTGCCTCTAATAGTCGATCTTGAAAGTTGGTTGGTAGATGGTACTGTAGACTAATTGGTTAGATCGGCTACACGGAATGCAGGAGATGTGGGTTCGACTACCGCCGGCGCACATTTTTCCCATCTCTCAAGTTGTTTACTAAACGTGCGCTCATCCGAAATATCATATACAGGTTACTGTTCTCGCACGGTGATACCGTGGTGTGTGCCCACGAGACGTCGTGGTGCAACTAGAAACCAGTTGGAGATACCTTACCAATCCGGTTTGTTTCACTTGAGCGCCGCCAGATGGGGCGCCAAGGCAGATTGGCAAAGCAAGCAGCAGTGGCGTGGGTAGGATTTAATTTGCCTCTAACAGTCGATCTTGAAAGTTGGTTGGTAGATGGTACTGTTGACTAACTGGTTAGATCGACTACACGGAATGCAGGAGATGTGGGTTCGAAAACCGCCGGCGCACATTTTTCCTATCTCTCAAGTTGTTTACTAAACGTGCGCTTATCCGAAATATCATATACAGGTTACTGTCCTAGCACGGTGGTGTGTGCACACTAGACGGCGTGACGCAACTAGAAAGTGATTTGAAACATAAAAATAGAATGAATTATTCTGGAAGTAGTAACTGAATCAATCTATTTGCTGGAAAGAGAAAACCATTTACTTATATGGCTTTATAAATCGTAGATATTTGTACAGATCATGGTTAAACACCTTGGCTGGTATTTTTAGTTTTTGTTGCTGAATTATGTGCGAAACAAATTATACAAAGTTACCTTACAATCCTTCATCCTTTGCCAATTCCTGACGATGATAGTAACCCCAGGAATACAGAAAGTTATGTGCGATAGCGTACATCAGAGTTCTATATTTTGTATCTCACTAAATTTGATTTGAAAAGGATGCCGATGCTATTGCGTTATTGAACGAGAATATCTGGATTATTTGTAAAATGCATATTTCATTCGTTGCGACTATATTCTTCTAATGCTTGAAGACAATAATTAACCCCAAGAATACCAAAAGATACAGGGATGTGCGATAGCGTACATAAGCGTTCTATATTTTGTATCTCAAATTTGATTTGAAAGGGTGCCAATGTTATTGCGTTATGGAATGAGAATATCTGGATTATTTTTCAAATGCTTGCAAGAGCAGCTTTTTGAATTCGACTCGGAAATCTATATTATGGTTGGATGTCTTATTTTCACCTTTGTGGTTGACCAATCGGCGTTCAACTTTTCTGCCTTTTTCTTGTGCAGGTTCCTATTTGGTCGTTTGAATGGTGTCTGTACAATGGTCTGTCTCTCCGTGAAGCATTGCTTGACAAATGCGGAAGAAAGTCTTCTTGTTTGAGATACGTCTTGGTTTTTAGGTTTTATAGAACTGGGTAGCTTGGACTATGATATTTTTTCTGCTCGCGCTACCTATTTACTGTGAGAAGCAATCTAATTATTATAGTGAAAATCTGTACTAGTTAAAGCAAGCCTGTTAGAAAACTATCTACAAATCGTGCGGTGGAATGAAATACAGTATTTTAATGGCAACATGCATAGCAAACATTTTGATAAAACACCTTGTTTTTCTATAGAAATCTTTGAACAGATTATGATTTATACTTACCGCCTTACTGTTTACGTCTTCAGCGCATCACACTCTAGTTATTGATACTAAATAAATATACTCGGTGACAAAGAATACCCACCAGAAGTATAATACTTTTAACAAAACTTGTACGTCCATTTTTGGCATTCTAAAGATAAATGATATGTAAAATACTATCATTTTTTGTTCTTAGGATGACGTGTTCTTTGACACTGGGTATATAATAATAGAAACATCGTGAACAACAGATACTTCACTATATTTTTTCCATAAAACCTTTTCGATTGCGTCAGTTTTAATATTTACGCATGTCCAATAACATGTGTTTTACTCGCCGAAATATTTTACTTATTGAGTGCTTAACACTTATTTAAACGACCATGCATTTGCTTAAGAGTTCCGCGACGTCTTTGTATATTACCATATACTATATCGTATAATGCATGATGAGCTGACATGGATTGACTCCATGAACATTTTGTTTTTTGGTGATCTGAGGTTTTCCATTGTACAGTGTTCTTCGGTTGATGTTGGAACCCGTATTTTTCCTTCTTCATTTCATCTTTCAGCGAGTATGCTAGAGTTTATATGATGGCAGGGGTGGTATAGAAATAATACTGATAACGTCCAAACGGCCAACCAAGCACATCTGTTTCATGCTTACTGGCAACGATCATCACGATCCAGGCTTCTAGCATACGCAGCACATGTGTTATTTATTGCCAGACACTAGAATCCAATACTGCGAGAGTGAACTTAGTAGTAGTAGTTCGTGGTCGTACTGATGGCCCTGCTAATGTCGCGGACGGAGATACCTTTACAGATCATGGTCAAGCAAACAGATCCTATTCATCCTGTGTTTAGATGCTGGTACCATGGTGTACACTTGTGTTCCCATGATTAATGAGTAGCGTATGATGGTGAACGACACTTGTCCTTTCGTCGAGCGGGCTGTCATTCCAGACGTACCGGAAACCGTAAGGGACAGTGTTGCCGAAAAGGATGAAATCGGTAGAGAATGTCGTTGACATTAGGTATTAGGTAGATTCCAAGAACAAAATCAGTAGTAGGGAAAAATCAGGGCCTTTGGAACATCAGTAGTGCATCAAGGGCCTTTGAAAAACGGATATCTTTTTCGTGGAAAAATATTCTTTATTAGAACTTGTGCAATGAGCATAGGTACTAGTCGCTCTTCAAACTCTTTGCAACCATTCTGGAAGCTCCTTTTATTATTTATAATGTAATACTTTCAGTTTTGCCCATGAACTTGAAATCTCATCACCTGACATTTTAATTTAATATTTTATTAAAAAGCGAGCTTTGGTTTTCTTATTGAGATTGTCCGGTGGTGCGATAATGACGGTGATCTGATATTTCCTAAATATTATACGCACATAATTATAGGCAACCCAAATCTACGTCCCGACTACCTAAGTTTATCCATATGTACTATATACGATTGGTATGGGGCATTAAACGACATAGACTACTTCATAGTATTGAAAAATCCGTAAATATCTTGATTATTACAAAAAAAACCGTGGAAAATTAGGACGTTTTCGTTATTTCGGTAGACATACCGAAAAATCGGTAGTTTCGGCAACACTGGCATGGGGTTCCATTTTACCGACTTGGGCATCGCGGCACCGCTTTGGCAGAACCACCCACTCGCGCACTACATACTGAGTTTTTCTGTAATATGTGAAACAGCGTCGTATGCGGTTGGTCGTGGTCAGAGACACGGGAAACAAAAATCCTATTCGGTCTGAGGTAGCTGTTGTTCAATGTCGCAGTAGTAGATACTGTATATAGATTATATCGTATTATCATCAGTGACACTGGAAATTGTTGGCGATGGTAGTAACAGTGGTCTATCTGATGAACTATCGGAATTAATTCTTGCTTTAAACGTGATTGTTGTAAAATGAATGAATTTAAACTCACCCCTTCATATATAATTTTTTATTCCGAATTCATTCATATTTCTAGTTTATATTGACTTTATTATTTCTTTCCTCGTCCTTGTCATTTGCTTTAACACTATTACCTACAAAGTGAAGTCTAAGGAAACATTTACTTTGTTTTTTATATTGCAGTTAAGTTGAAATTAAAACATGCATGCCAAATGTAAGTTTACTTTTTAAAACTAAATCAGTTTTCAGAATATTCCATTTTTGATAGATTTTATATACTATAGACCAGTGTTATCTAGCAGAACCATAGTAAGACATCGATACGTTTTTACTTGCACGTTGACAATCGAACATATCTGCGTGATGCTGAACGGATTCTTTCCCAATTGAATTTAGTGATGATTAAATATATCGACTCTGGCGCTAAATGTCTGATAGACATCAAGCTAAAAATATATGTATATATCGGATTTCGAGGGAACGGTCATTTTTTATTATGTATTATTAGACAGACATATACTGATTTCTATTGTGTTTCAGAAAAGAAAGGTATTTCCTCTTGTAATTCTCCAAGGACTTGTTTTTCTCATTCCTTGTAAAGTGGTCTTGTCATCGATATCATTCGTAGTACTAAGTTTATTATAAACCCGTGTACTATTATTGCGTTTGAAGATGAATCATCGAGATTCCGATAACTGCTCTGATCAGAAATAACAACATACAGCAATATAGTCGTCACAAAAATATATTTTCACCTAGGAATTGATTCAAGTAACACATTGATTGGAGAAATACATCGCATTATCACATTTATAGCATATATGACAACTTTAAGAAAAATTAGCCAGTTTTAAAATGACAACGAAAAAATACAAGCATTATCTCTAAAATAATGACTAAAATTAGTGAGCGACATGACACTGTTATTCATGGTGAAACGATTGTACGAGGTTTTTTTTTTCACTTTTCACAAAGTTTTCGCGCGGTTTAACGAACATCGAATTAAGTAGCATGCTTTTGAAATGTACAATATAAAACTTGAATAATTTGCGGCGGTCGGTTGATCAATTCCTGTATCTGTAAAATGGATAAATTGGCAATTTATTGCTTTACAACCTATTTAAAGTTTTTATTTTTCCAGAACTTTTATAACCTACCCTACTGCATATTTTATTTCCCTGTGACTACAAGCATTCCAGTAATAAGACATTTAAGATACAGGATTGTCTTCAAATAAACTTATACGGGGTGGCCTGAAGGTTGGGAATTTCCTTTTCAGAGACGACTACGCTTGTAATAACAAATATAATTAACAACAGCGGAAAAGTAAAAAAAAACAAATTAACGAAACGGTAGTTACCGAGATATTTCAAGTACAGCTCTGTCACTTGTAAGTTTTGATCAAAGTTGTCTACGGTAGATTGAAACGAGCAGTTCACCTCACTTTTATACATTAAACATTTCGTTTCGCCCCAAACAAGAAAAGATCATGAATGATCTTGAAAAAGTATCCGCATCCACTCGCGAAGCCTCGGTAGCATTTCGAAGACACTCATCGTAAATTAAAATAATATGGACAACTCCGATATTGCTGTATGAGTGACTTTTGTTTTGATTTTTAGAACAGATGTGTAAAGGTTTTGTTTACCAACGCGGCCAGCGTCTGGATTGAGTTTGGCAACGTGCGTGTTCACTTTTGATTCATAGAGGTGCAGGACCGGATTAAGTTTTGTTTAGGTTTGATTTATTTCGCGAAATCTCAAGACTTTAGTGTATACGAGGTTTGTCCGGGAAATACGTATAAAAGTGGAATAACAACTTTATTTTACAATCGTTCGGGTATTTAAATATGGTGAATCGGGTGAAAAACTCACGCACAGCGAGAGACGTGTAAACTTCAATGTAGAAATTTCTGTTCACTGTCTGGTTGGGAGAGACGACAAATTTCTAGTGAACAATGCCCCGAGCATCAAAGAAAACAATCAACATTGTTTTCACATTGGACCTTAGTTTTTTCGACTTTTTTTGTTCTCGGTTCCCCTGTTTGCTTCCACTCCATGCTTTGAGATTTCAGCTCCACATCGAGTTCGTAGAAATAAGACTCGTCTCCAGCGATGAGGCTAAGAAAGTCCCACCTCCTCTGCTGCCAATCGACGGTCTCTAAGAACACAACCCCGAATCCGTTCAACATGTGAGCGTTGGTCATCTTTTACACCCTCTCGCCCTGCCCGAAACCTTTGCAACGACTTGTTGACGGTTGATTCCTTCAGAGAATGGTCTCCGTAAAGTTGTTCAAAACACTAAAAAATCTAACGAACATTCTTGCCTAGCTTTGCAAGAAACGTGATGTTGATGCGCTGGTAAAAAAGGGCTACTCGACGCCCCAATTTTTTTATACGTATTTTCCGGAAAAACCTTTGGTGTCACTAAAAGAAACTGCTCTTTTTTCCAATATCTATATGCCGTGTAAAGCAAAGCCCCAACTTTGAGGATACCCTGTATAACCCGTAATTTAATTTTATTTTATGTGCACTATCAGACAAACACCGTGTTAGAACGTTGCGACGTAACGTTGCGACGTTTTCGTTACCATTGCCATAGTACTGTTATTATAAACTTCAATGCGCGGGAAGTTATCTGAACTGAGTTTTCCTCTACAGTATATTCAGATAAGAGATAGACCGGATGTAAACAAAAGGTTCGGGTGATTTTCACGCTAACGCCGCCGTCTCGACGTAAAACAGGAGCCATCATTGGTCAATTCGCAATTAAATGCCTATGCCGAGCGGCAGAGCAGTCGTATCAAGGCAGAGTCACATTCAGGTTCAGACGTGTTACGTATGTCGTGTGCATCATTGCAATTTGATATTTCTTTGGACGTTTTCGTTTGTTATCTTATTAAGTTGTTGAGTTTGTCGTTGTTATTGTTATACCTTGTTATTGATTGTTATTGTTATCAACTGCTTGCGCAAAATGCCCAGTAGTACAGATACTGCCGATGAAGTTGTAAACTCCTGTAGTCCACCTAGGAAACGCTCTAAAAAAAGATACCCGAGTGCAGAAATGAAAGAGGTCATTTTGAATATATATAAGATCGAGCGCGAGGAGAAGGCGTCATCCGAAGCTGGAAATCGAAGCGAAAATTTTGAAACCCTTATGTATATTTACATCATTATATATTTCTTACCCCACCCCCACATGATCCTATAACCATCACCAATCATATACACATCGAATTGTGCTAATTTACTACAAAGTTACGCAAAGCAGCATCTACTATCTAAAATATGTACTGCGTGACTCTTAATACGTCCCTGCCGAATGTTACAGCGTTCGATGATCACGTGGTCTTGTTTATGTCCGGTCTATCTCTTATCTGAATATACTGTAGTCTCTTAAATTGTTTGATAGTGCTGGGTTCATGGCAATTTTTTTTTTATTTATTGCTCCAGCTTAAGCGTAAATGCAAATGCAACGTCCACGCGTCAGGTTAAGCATAATGGATCGTTGGTAGATAAATTTGTTTTGTCCTATAGCCTGTGTTTGTTTATTCGGGCGTCAAAAAAGCAATGGCGTTATTGTACTTCACGAATGAAATTACGAGAGGTTTTCTAACTTGACTGAAACATTGATAGAGAAAGTCTACATGTGTAATTGAGTAACACGGTACTATTATAACTAGGACTCGAAATCGTTCATGAGCTCTTACGAGCGACACAGCAACAGATACGAAGCCAACCGAGAACCAGCTAGGGGCAGTACTGGATCAATGGCCAATAGAGGGCACTGGGTCAGCGATAACAGGAGAGGGGATGATTTTCCCAATAAGAGGCGCCGCTTTTAAATCCATTGCAAAAAACACTCCACTTTTATTTATATAATGACAGTTGTCTTCGTCCCTGGTGACCATTCAGACTATGTCGCGCGTTTCTCCTAAACTTTTGTTAAGGTCGATGAATCGAACAAATGCGGAGGCTCCTGGGTAGACATTGCTTTTGGGAGTGCGCTTACCTAGCTTGCTTTATTAGCAACATTCATAGAATGGAAGATATCACCATAACAGCGGAATGAGGAGACAACAAACGTAACATTAACTTTTATAAATACTAGCCCAGCCGAACATTTCAAACTTCCCGTCTAGTCTTTGGTTATTATTACGTTTAATTGTCAATATCAATACATAATCAAATTTGGGACAGTGGGATTACGATTACGGTATCGGATATGTCACAAAATACCTAAAATTCTTTTTTATTTTATATTGCCTTGAAAAGCGATGCTGAATCTGTTTGGCAATAAATGCTATTATTATGCCAGCTTGATACTTGATGCAACCGTCGTTTCCCACATCTTGGAAAAAGTGTCATTTGCTAATGCGGAACGTGGGCGCACCCCAAAATATTGTCCAATATCCAGATTCCAGCAGCTGTGGGAAAATTATGCGTTCATTAAATATTTCGGTATTAAGAAATAGTAACAAAATTTTGGATCGACTTTTTTCCCACACGTGAGGTAAGCCTTAACAAAAGTTCTAAATTAATGCGAGCCATATGTTTTTACGTAGCTTGACGTGTTTCTTTAATGTACTAGGTGTTCATGCCTCATTAAATTAAAGTAAGTAAAATAAACTTTGTCTTGTGAATTTAAATTTTAAGTATATGGTTAGACATCTCTATACTTGAGTCCTTGACTGTTGTGGTAATTGAAATCTCTTTTTATATAAACAGTTATTATTTAATCCATTCTAATCTACGTCTCCCGTATTATGAGTCAGATCAGTTAATTTGTATATAAAATGCAATAACTCGCTATCATGGTAAATAATTTTGAAAATATTGCTATCATCAATTGTTCTTTGTTTGAGTATATTTGTATATAATGTAATTGTGTTTTGAAACATCCCTGTTTTCAAAATTGCCTTTTGAAGGTAGTTTCTGACATCCTAGTATAAGACATCTATTATGAACAGTGATTGAATTAATTTACATGTTTACAAATTAGTGGCGTAGTTTACCGTGCAACAATAAAAATAGTGTAAAATTTCGATTTCTTTCGTTTTCCTTTGTTACAAGTTCCTACTTTGTTCTGATAACGTATCCAAGCCTATCACAGCACATTCAGCTTCATTTTCTTAGATATATGTCGCCTTCAAAATTAGGGATCTAATTAAACCGAAGTGGGACATTGCAGTACCAAAGGAGGAAAAAAGTATACTCCGCGGGAAAATATATCCACATATAAATAGTTTTTTTCCAAATATTTTTCTTTATATATAGCATCATTGAAAAGACTTCCATCATCATCATTGGCGCGGATCAACCGAACTTCGACAATTTCGCGTAAAGGCTGTTTTTTTTTAAATACGTTATCAAAAATGTTCTTGGACATAAATTGATGAAGCGACTGTGCTTGTAGTTTCCAAGCTTAAGCTTATCAAAGGTTTTGTTTAATACTGGGTTCTAAATATTAGCAGAAATCCATCCAGTTAAGCTGATAAAGAAAGCAGGAGGGTGATATGGGCCATGTGAGAGAAGAATATGAAGACATATGATAAAAGTCACCAGCTGTTTTGTCTATTCTACTAATTCATGTCCACACACAACCTAAGTCTTCTGGAAATCGGATGTTTATTCGCATTATGGATGCATTAATCAAATTAAATAGAATAACATAACCTGTTAAAACATTTACGAGGGGGTACCCAAAAAGCCGGAATTATTTTTTAAAAGCTATTTACTTCCAACCTTTTGACAAAATACTGACCACTACAACTAATACACTTGTCCCACCGGTACTTCCACTGCTCGAAATATTTTTTAAAGTCTTCCTTAGAAATGTGTGACAGCTTGTCCCTCGTTTTTTTCTTGACCTCTTCAATGTCGCTCAAAGCGGCGTCGTTTCATACCCCTTTCCATCCGTGTAAATAAGAAAAAGTCGCACGGAGGTCGGGCGAATAAGGTGCGTGAGGCAGCGGAACCATGCCGTTTTTAGCCAGAAACTGTCGAACAGAGGCAAATAACACAAGCTCTCGGATTTTTTCAACGTTTTCGTCGATTCGGGCAGTTGATAGACGTCCAGGGCGAGGTTTGTCATCAATCGACATGCCGCCATTTTTAAATCGAGCAAACCAATCGTACAGCCGAGTTTTTCCCATAGCATCATCGTTGTAAGCTATTTTCAACGTTAAAACAGTTTCAGCCGCATGTTTACCAATTAGAAAGCAAAATTTCCCAGATGCACGTTGCTCACTGAAGATTGCCATCGTGACTACAGAGGAATGAAACAAACCAGATCGACAACTCAGGTGGCACTGAACTGGTAATGATCTGCTCTGTACACCTCCAGGGGCAGAAATGTGTACTACACAAGCTCCGCCCACTGCAATGTTTTTCCGGTTATTTTTGGGTACCTCCTCGTATATGTACTTTTACACAACGGTGGTATTCACTGACGATAGCTGAAAATCCAGAATCGTACGACGTTTCAATACTCGTGCATTTTATGCAATCCTTTGACTTTTCTAAAATATACAGTATAATACAGACATTACTCTGATCACACCTTTACAAGATTGACTTTCTAGCCCCGTGGTATAGTGTTTTACGAGGGATGTCTTTTAAGTTTTGCATATAGAAACATAGTAGGCCGCGCGGATCGAACGTCAGTACTGAATCTTAACCTCACTCTTTAGTAAACTTAAATTCAAAGTTTCACAACAATACGTGCAGTGTTCTCACTACAGTGAATTTTTAAGTGTCGCCAAGTCATTAGAAAAATGGAACTCAACCGTGAACAGTTTCGCGCCATAATCTAATACAACTTTCAGAGACAATTATCGCAACAAGAACGCCTTGCTGAGTTACTGTCTGTTTTCGGCAACGAAGCGCCACATCAGTCGACAATTTCCCGTTGGTATGGAGAATTCAAACTTGGACGGGTGAGTCTTAGCGACGATCCCAGGGTGGGTGCACAAAAAATGGCAGTCACCCAGAAAAATGTCGATGCTGTGCGCAAACTCATCATTGAAGATAGTTATGTGACATATCGCGAGATTGAGGCATCCTTGAAGATCTCAAAGACCTCAATTCAAAAAAATTTACATGAAGAATTAGTAGTAAGAAAATTATTTTCTCGTCGGATACCCCACCTGTTGACTGAAGAGCAAAAGGCAGCCAGGGTTAATTGGTGTCAAAAAACGTTTCAATTCCGGAAACTCAAAAAATGTGTACAGCATTGTTAGTGATGGTGAATCGTGGATTTACTGTTATGAACCAGAAAATAAAGACAGTTGGCTGTTTGGGTGTTCCAAGGTGAAGAAAAGCCAACAAAAGACATCCGTTCTCGAAGTGTTTCGAAAAAGATGGTCGCGACATTTGTGTCAAAATTGGTTCGATCGCATGCAGATGTGTGTTAATCTTCATGGAGAATACTTCGAAAAACAATAAAGTCATTTAAAACTACCTACCGTGTTGTTTTAGTTCCATATGCAAAACTTAAAAGACATCCCTCGTAGTAGGCCTTGAAGAAGTTCAACATCAGTCTGATAAGTCGAGAGTGTACTTAGGATTTTGCACAGTGGGTCGTGGAAAATGTTGAGGTCCCACATCTCTTTTATCAACAGAATTATTGAAGGAGAATTCTTGATAGTTTTTGTCTTATTGTTTTATGGTGTGTACAGAGATTACTGGAAAAAACTATTATTCTTTTGTCAAAAATGCATTAACTCGTTAACAAATAATTGTATAACTCTGGAATTGTATGAGAATATTCCACATTTATAGCGAAGATTTCTTATTTTTCTAAAAAAGTATTGCTTTTCTTGAAAAGCTAAGCTTTTTTGAAGAAAAAATGTAACACGTAATCACACTAATGAGGAATATTCTCATATAATTTCAGAGCTCTACTAGTTTTTGATACCGAGTCACGATTGTTAAAAAGCTCATACAAAATATATGTACATTTTTTGGTATAGCTGTGACAGATTATCATAGATGCCTCTATGGTATATCACTTCATGTTGGATAATTTTTCGGACGCGCACATATAGTACTAGGGTGGCTAACTTCAGGTTAATCAATGAGAATACTCCTCTAAATGGACTGTTGAAGAAAGGGGCTGGGCGATCCGAACAAAGTTCGACGTTATGGAATGCTCGGTGGCTCGCTTTAAATCCAAGCTTTACGATTCCCCAGTAAGTTCGAGTCATTATTTTTGAAATGGGATTTATATGATAAAAAACTATGTATAAAAAAGGGTTATTAGATAGCCGCGTACCGCAAGTAATCATCCCTACTGCTTAGGGGTCGTCCACTAATCACTCGACGGGGTAGTTCGGAAAATATCAAATGAGGCGAGGAGTGTATTATTTTTTTTGTTGAATGCGAGAGTTTTAATTCAAAAAGCGGCGCGTGACCTTGACTACGATTTCTCGCCCGCTGCAACATCAGCCCTGCTCGGCTTGCCATCCACCAGTAATGTACTTTTCCTTCAATATTTCTATACCAGTCAGAAACAACCTGCAACCTTAATGTTTCTCTGGAAACTTTACCAAAAAAAATACACGTGATTTTGAGTAGGGCCCGTAGCTATAGGCGATGTCCACATTTGACAGCTCGAGGTACGTGTGAGTTGCCGAGAGTTATTTTAGGTAAAAAGTTGCTGATTCAAAGTTTCGACTACTAAAATGCTTTCGTGTCGCGTTGTGATGTGAAAGAGTACCGCAGCAATTTAATATTCGAGTCAATTCAACTAAAATTTTGTTGAAAACAAGCAGAAAAGAACACGAAACACACAGAATATAAGGTTATGTTTCACCGACATCTGAGGTGCTTGACGTTACGTGCATATGACCTATGGAGGGGGGGGGGGGGGGGTTAGAAATGTTGCTACAAAACATCACGTGATTACTGGACGACGTCCCATTGGGCCAAGCGTGTTTCGGTTAAAAAAAAAAAACGCGGCAATATTAGGGATAATTACTAGCGACCATTATATCACTGTTATTTCTCTTCATATACAGGGTTTGTCCGGAAAGTAATAGGACTGAGTCGATTTAAACAAATTTATTGAGCCAATCGTTACAATTCTTTAGAAACTTTCAAAATAGGCTCCTTCTGCGTCGATGCAGCGCTGCCAGCGCGATTTCCAAGCATTGAAGGCGTCACGGAAGGCTGCGGTGCATGCTGCTTGGATCCCCTCTGTCGTCTCAAAATGCTTGCCTCTCATCGGCATTTTCAGGCGTGGAAACAAAGAAAAAGTTCGGGGGGCCACATCTGGGCTGTAGGGCGGCTGCGGAAGCGTTGGGATGCCGGCCTTGGTCAGGTAGCTGTTCACCAGAAAGGGGCGTTGTTGTGGTGCAACTTCCAGTCGGCTGCGATGTCTTGTCGGACCCGACTGACCCTTCGTTTGAGTCTCCTGAGCACTTCCACGTAAAACTTGGTGTTGACGGTGTGTCCAGGAGGAACAAATTCACAGTGGACGATGTCTTTGATGTCAAAAAAGACAATGAGCACCGTTTTCACTTTGGGCGAGAAGACGCCGTCGTGTGCCACTCGGAAGATTGCCTCTTTGTCTCGGGATCATACTCAAAGATCCACGACTCGTCACCTGTGATTACGTTATTCAAAAATTGGGGGTCACTTTCATACATGTTCAAATTTTCTTGGCACACTTCCACTCGCCGCAATTTCTGGTCGTAAGTGAGCACTTTTGGGACCATCTTCGCGCACACCTCGCGCATGTTCAAATGCTGTGTCACAATGTCATGAACCACAGATTTTGGTAAATTTAACATCCGGGCAATTAAACGAATACTTAGTCGACGGTCCGAGTTCAAAACTTTGCGCACACGAGTCACGTTATCGGTGTAAAAAAGGCCTGGTGCCACCGAAACACACCACTTCTTGCTAAAGCAACACTTGGGGAAGCCTGCTTGATCATATCAAACGTCTCTGTCGCAGATTTACCGAGTTTCACACAGAATTTAATCGCGTACCTCCGCTCTAACAAACGCTGCATTTTCTCTCCAAGTTCTCGGAGACAACTGACCAGCCGCTCATTCGTTAGCTAGGAACGCCCTTTACCGAATCCAGTCGGTACGCGCACGCTCCGAAGTACAGTCATGGCGGAAGAAAATGAGTCCTATTACTTTCCGGACAAACCCTGTACAAGTCTATTAGAGACCATCGATGCAAGTTTCAACTACACAGAGGGTAGACAATTAGACATTGGAACAAAAAAACATTCTGTATATTTGGTATTTTTCCGGAACTCAAAATAGCAGAATAAAATATAATAACCGATAACTTCATTATTATTATTCTTCTTTAGGTTTTCAGCTTGAAATACTGTATCCAGCTTTCGTAAAGGTATGCCAATTTTCATATAAACTCTGCGACCTGTATACCACATGAAATGGGCAGAGCCATTTTGTAGTTCATCTTCATGTTGTTCTGGCCGCTAAATATGCAGAAAAATTTTCTGTTTTTCTGAGGTTTCGGTCAACAACATGAAGATGGACCGACGAGACAGCCGCAGGATAAGTTTCAGGAGTTAATAACGATTTGTTAAATATATTTCTACCTCTAGTTAAGGTGAGTTTCCAGTCATAATAAAATCCTACAAATTTTTGACGTGTCGAAATTTTCACAAGATTGGAATATTTGGAAATATTTCTCAGATCAAGATGCTCAGAGGTAACATCAACATTGAAGATTGCTATATTTTTCATCTGAAGGACTAGATGTGTATTATTCCATTTGTGTTAAGGAGTAGGTAATGGATAACTTTTCAAATTAAAATATCATGGTCAGTTTGTTATTTCGCAGCGCGTTTGGATGTTTATGGAATCAATTGAAAAAAAAAATAATATAAATCTGATACACGCCTGAAAGGCACTTCACTTTTTATGCTTTAGATAGAAAAATATCCACATTTTGTTTTCCGAAACCTGCTCAATTATTCATACCGAATATACGTAGTAATATGTCGTCTTGTCAATTGGGCAGGGCTGGGTCCGGTCCTGAGCAAGTCGTTGCAGAAGGAATCGATTTTCGTGGTTTCGATTCCGATTTCGGTGGTTTCGATTCCGACCACGACACTTCTGAGTGCTGCTTCTATGATTGGCATTTAGATTCCTTAAAAACGGATCGGATCGGATTTGGATGAACTGTTGGAAATGATACTGCTCGGATTGGAGAATCGCTGCTATCGTAATAAAATAGTTGCACTAACGCTTTTAATTGCAGCTGCTCCAAACGAGGAACGATCTAAAATATAATTTGGTATGGAGTTTGCAGTGTAGATAATGTTTCATGTTTAATTGCCATTTAATGTCTTCAATATTATGTTATTAATGTAGAATGAATTAATTCCGCGCAAATACGCATAACTTTGGACTTTTTTTAGATATTTTGATATACACATCGCGAAAGCCCATGTCTGTGTTCACTTGTCTGTTTTTTATGGTATAAATCAGGGTGACTTGTGGAACGATGTAAGAATGTAAGCCAAAAAATGAGTCTGATTGAATTTTATAATTTTTTGCATGTTTATGAGGGTAATCTTGGAAAATGTTTTTGGAACTACCGCTTTAAAACGTGAATAGTCTGCTTTTTAACTAATGTACATATATGAACGTAA